TGGGACATTTAATGGCACTGCGCTCTACAGTTTCATCCTTCTGTGCTAATGGAAATCATGTCAAAACCTGACTACAGTAAAGAAGCAAGCTGTGGTTAATATTGCATTCAATGCATATAATTAAGCTTACAAAAGCACAGATGTATTTCTGCATTTGCAAGATGTTTTTATCCAGAGTGACTTGCTTTTCGTCTTTGTAGGCAAGGATTCTCTCACACTGGTGTTTGTGGAGACTAAGAAGGGTGCTGATTCTCTTGAGGACTTCCTCTATCGTGAGGGCTATGCCTGCACCAGTATCCATGGCGACCGCTCTCAGCGCGATCGTGAGGAAGCACTCCACCAGTTCCGTTCTGGGCGCTGCCCTATCATGGTTGCCACCGCTGTGAGTAAGAGTCTGAGCGTTCACTGGAAGCCTGTGGTTTTCCTCCTGATTGCTTAACTGGTTGTGTTTTTTTTCTTGATAGGTGGCTGCACGTGGCCTTGACATCTCCAACGTGAAACACGTGATCAATTTTGACTTGCCTAGTGACATTGAGGAGTACGTCCACCGTATTGGTCGTACAGGCCGGGTGGGAAACCTTGGTGAGTTTTACTATAGTTTTCGGAAATACCTTGAATTTCTCGTTTTTGCCAGAACATCTGTTTGAATTATTGATTTATCTTCAGGACTTGCCACATCCTTCTACAATGATAAGAACAGCAACATCACAAAAGATCTGCTGGACATCTTGGTGGAGGCCAAACAGGAGGTGCCTTCCTGGCTTGAAAACCTAGCCTACGAGCACCAGCACAAGAGCACCAACCGCGGACGCCCCAAGAGGTACGGAAGCATCCAAGCTCTCCCCAATGGGTTTGTGCATTTTCCAGATTCATGATGTTACTCTTCTTCTGCAGGTTCTCTGGTGGCTTTGGGGCCAGGGATTACCGGCAGATGGCTGGGGGCGGCAATGTTTTCGCCAATCGTGGTGCTCGCAACACTGGTGGCCATGGAGGTAGCAGAGGTTTTGGAGGCAATAAGGGTTAGTTTCACTTCAAACCACATCTTATGATTTGATATACGATATATATATATGTGTGTGTGTATATATGAATGTGTGTGTGTGTGTGTATGTATAAATGTTAACATGTAACCTTGATTAATAAACTAACAATAAACAATATTACAGTATTCATTAGTGTTTAATTTTATTGTAAAAGTCCGTGGAAATTGTTGAAAGCAGTCCTGAATTTATTGTCCATTTTAGGTGGCTTTGGGAGTTTTGGTGGTGACAGCTATGGGGGCAACTATGGAAACTATGGAGGAAACTACGCCCAGGTGGACTGGTGGGGCAACTGAATGTACGTTTGCCAAACTAGCTGAACGGAAACCACATGTTATCATAGCCAGACTCTACCCCCTGTGTAGCTTTATGAACTCGGTACATTACACGCTGTGATTCTCTGCCCACATTCTAAAGGGAGCTGCTCTGTGGCAAAACCAGAGCAGAATAACAAGGATGCCCACTTGTGTATTTGATCTATTACAGCACCTAGGTTTCTGACTTTTTCTTTGTTTAAAAAAAAAAAAAGAGGATCATTTTTTGTATGTGAATGTACTGTGCCTTTTTGAATATAGACAAGAATTTAGTTTAGTTAATTTCATTGAGTGAACTTGGCCAAGAGCAATGTTTTTGTTTTTTTTGCTGTAAAGGCATTTGAAAGCTTGTACTTAATCAAACCTTGGCAAATACTGGGATAATGTGACTCAGCGAGTCGCTGTTCCATTTGAACTTCAAATTCTCACCAATATCTTGAAGTCAACAATACAAGCCACAAAGTAAAACGCATCACAGGCGCTTTGCTAGAACCGTTCTGTGAAGCATCTGCGTCACAAGGGACAAATCGGTCTGACTTCCTTTTTGTTTTGCTCACTCTATCCTGCAGAGACGCCTCTTTAGGGATATGGTTGTCTTGAAAAGGCCATTCCAGTTGTGATATTCATGATGAAATATTGGAAACACTCAGTGTTTGAAAATTCAAAATGCTGGAACTTCTTACTCCATTTGTTTTAATTGACTTGACAGTGTTACGGCAGCTAGCAAGAACCACATGCTAGCCACTCTAAGTGGGCAGCATTTTTTGTGAACTACTACTTTTCTTCCTCTTAACAACATTTTAGAGAAGCAGATGCCATTTATTGAAAAACTCCAAGGTTTTTTGATAAAATGTTTCTTTACAAATGTCAGCAAAACAAAAAATGCCTGCCATCCTGAAAGCAAAGTTCAACTGGCTACAAACGGACCACAGAACCAAAGCGGCCGTGCCTTTGCAACATGACCGCTTTGGTCACATACGCATGCTAGTGTTTTGTTTTTTGGTCAAGGAGAGAAGACGAATGAACTGTTGCAGGCTTTCTTTCAATACAAACGTCCTCTTTTCTCAAGCTGCGCAGCAGGCATGGCTCCCTTTTTCATAGGTAGAGGCAGCGTGAGTTCATTTTGAGGCACTGCTGGATCCAAACCGGTGTTGGGCCTTGACGCGAGTGCAGTTAGACAGCCCACCATTTTAGCTTGTGTACGGAGTCCCGCTGTTCTGCGTGAGGCCGGACACCAGGTATACGAATGCTGTCAGCTCCTGAAATTCATCAGGTTAGATGTGAACTAAACCACTGGCCGAGGAGCCAGTTTACTGCTTCTTTTCTTGAAAAAAGACAGAAGCGCTCGAGGAGAAAGTGGAGAAAGTGGAGGAGAAATAAGGCATTTATCGCAAGTGCAATAGATTTTCTTCTCAAGTGAGTTGTGCCTTGACTTTCTTTGTTTTTTGTGTTTTTTTTTTTTTTAAATGATGAATTCAAGCAGATGCACTGACAGTATTAAGAACTTCAAGTTGAATGGTGCTACTTTAGTTAGGTCTAGGCCCGTGTATGTTGTGCCCATCAAGTTTTACAAAGTTCTTTTATTGCACATTTGGAGTTTTATATATACACGTGTCTTGAGTGCATGTCCTCAAGCGTCCAAATATTGTGTCAGGAGACCGGAGATACGCAGCTTGTTTACAAAAGGGGAAGGGTTCTCACTATTTACCAGGATTTATTTGGGACCAGGGCGATCAGCAGTGGGGAATTTAGCTGTTTGCACACAGATTTCTAGATTCTACTTTTGCTGCTAGTTTTGTGTAATTTATTAAGCATTTTTTGAGAAATATTTATTTTTATAAGCCTCAAAGTGATTCTTTGAAAGTTTCAAGTAACTTGACCAAAAGACAATACCTGAACACTGGCACTTGAATGTTGAATGTCACCTGTATGCGTGGAAAATTTCTGTATTTCGGGGTAGCGTGAGCTTTTTAATGTTTCAGACGTAATGGACTTGGTCAGTTTCCACAGCTGTTAACGGCCTGATGGCAACACGTCGCTATGGAATTACCAATTGGCTCTCAAAATTGCAAACGGGAGGGAAAAAAAACATGCCAAGGTTTGGATTGAAAAAATGTAAAAAATAAAAAAATAAAAAAAATTAAGTATCAGTGCAAAAAGTGTCCAGATTCTCCACGTGTGCTTTTTTTCTGTCCTACAGATTGGCATTTGTTCTGTTGAAGTTTTGTTTCTGTCAATGTCTGGCACATGGCAACCTTGAACATGTGGTTGATCTCTATTGTATTTACATATACAGCGACTCTGGTATTAGTCCACTCAGGAGAAGCTGCAAGTATCCACGCTAGCAATAAGTCTTAAAGTGTATTGGAAACACTGAAATCACATCCCCTGCCCTCCATCCAGATGGAAATAAGAGAATAGTTGGCTTCCTGAGAGGACACCAGAGCTCCTTAGATTTAGTATTTGCTTTATGTCGTAGCTTCTAGGCTCTGCACTGCATGAGATGACTCAGCTGTGCATTTATTGTATGATTTTACCAAAATAAAAGTTTCTGATGCAAATTCCTTACAATCAAGCATGATTTCTTAAGCATTTCGTGTAGCAGAAATTCGGTCAAGCATTTGTAACGGCTGCTCCTCATGTGATCTAAACTCAGTGGAGTTGTCTGACGTTTAGTTGATGCCAGTTTGTTTACAAAATAGAAACACTGTATTTACTTGGTGTCCCTTGTCTTATTTCCTCTGCTTACAGTGGGCTTTAGTTTACAGTGATGCTGCATTTTGCTGGTACTTGGGGATTCAAGTGTTAATCAATTCGTTTTTTTTTTTGTTTTTTTTGCTCACCCCAGATGATTTCCGCTGTCAAAGTGGTAACAGACTAGTAGTAAAGGACTAGACTGACTGAAAATATGTATAAAAATATACATATTGATGAATTGCTAATTGTATAAAACAATGTAGGATTACTCCAATTATTAAATGAAGCATTCTTCCTAAAAGGGCAGGTGGTAGTTGGAACGTGTGTCCGATGCTTCAGGGTGAACTGTGCCAGTAGCTCAACTCATGCTGTCAAACTTCACATTCAAATGAAATAAAATTAAACCCCCAAAACACCAATTGTTTCACGGTTAAATATTCTGAATCTGACATGTGGTGTTTTATTAATATCTTTAAGAAAATTTTAATAATATACAGCAAAATAAGACTTTGGGACTGGATCGTGATTTTATTTTTGTGCTGTATAAACACATTTTTGATAAATCATTACGCTTACCAATAATTCATCTTAAACATGACACTGCTTGAAGCCAGATGAGTCCTATTTAAAAAAAATATATATATATATATATATATATATTTTTTTTTTTTTCAATGTGACCCCATTGTCCCCTAATATGAAATCCGGGTGGTAGAAGGGTCTCCAATGAAAGGTGTTACTTGCAGATGTTTCCTGAAACGTTTACATTATGGTATGATAAATCATTACGCTTACCAATAATTCATCTTAAACATGACACTGCTTGAAGCCAGATGAGTCCTATTTAAAAAAAAAAAAAAATATATATATTTTTTTCAATGTGACCCCATTGTCCCCTAATATGAAATCCGGGTGGTAGAAGGGTCTCCAATGAAAGGTTACTTGCAGATGTTTCCTGAAATGTTTACATTATGGTTCAGTATCTCATGACCACCGGTTTATATAAGGAGATTGCAGCCTGTAATCTGTATGTACTATTGAGGCCCAGCGGGTCATTTCTACTCGCTTTGATTTCAGAGTACTGCTTTAAACGCTTATAATCCCAGGATTTTTCTGCCATTAAGTGATGGCTTTCTGAAGGGGAGCGCTGATGATAGTGGATGTGTGCACATACAAACATTCATATTTTCTCTTGGAGCGAAGCAGTACAGACATAGTCATGGTGGGCAAACTTATGGATGAACTTTTATTAGTTGTCTGTGCAGGAGAACCTTTACTGAACATGCTTGACAGGTAAGTAGTTTGGGGCCAGTGCTGACATTTTGTAATCATTTAACACTGGAATTTTTTATTTAATTTTATCTAATAAAATGTTCTGTCCTCTCTTGCTAATTGTATGTTCAATAAGATATCCTAATTGTTGTTTTGTTTTAGTGGAAATGCTTAAGTTAATTTATCTTAAAAATCCAGAGTTGAGAGGTACCAGTGATGCGTTTCATCGTTATTGCTGGTAAGTCTATGATTTTTGCTGTCTTATGTTCCTTGCTGTCGTCAGTGTTGTATTTCTTCAATGATATGAGCAGGTGTAATTAAACTACTGTGCTAAAAACAATCTATTCAATTCAAATGATCTCAAGTGTTTTTGAGAACATTACATTAAAGCGTGGTTACAGTATGTTCCTGAAATGCAGTATCTCTACTGATGGAACTTTAAGGGAACAAACAAGACCTGGTGTGTTTGTGTAATCTCTAATCTGTCCTTTCTTAATCACCCTATTTTCAGTGTGTGGAGCAGATGAAGGACAGAGGGAGGCCACACACATTAAATTATTCCTCCAATGTCTGCTTGTGCTCTGTAATCTTCCCATAACTGCTGGGAGAACGAGCACGACTCATTTGCAAAGTGATTGCTTATGCTGCATGACTAGCGTTTTGTTTTGGTATAATTAAGAGTCCTGGAATTTCTATCTGAAAATTCATGAAAGGCTTTTTGTCAAATCAATATCATTTTTCTGCAATATAGACCATGTAGTTCTAGTATAAACCTGTGGTGTGGAGCATTCAATACAGATCAACATGACTGTTTACAGTTCAGTGAGATGAAAATTCACTCTTAAAATATCAAAATATTGACATTTCCATTTTTTCAAAGTCAAAAATTATATGTAAAGGCTTCATTCTGTGACCTGACTTTTTCAATACGAAATGGTTTGACTTTTTTTTTTTTTTAACTGGTCAAGTAGGTTTGGTACACCTCTTTCTATATGCCATTTATATATAAATAATCTAAAAAGAATGCTTGTCCAATGATTTAACTTTTTGTTATTAGCCTTGACAATGTAAAAAAAATAGTATTTTGAAAATACAAAATTAGAAAAGTACCTCCTAGGCAGCATAAATATTTACATTTAATTATTTTCTTAATATGGTTCATTTAAATCTGTCATTAAACAATGTGTGAAAGACAAACAAAAATACGTCATTTTTGGAGAATGACCTACATGCAATGTGTGACTAAGGTTTTGTTTGGAAATATTCAAACTAAATATCAATGAACATAGACAAGATGCCAATTTGTCTAGTTGCATATTGTGGTTAAATGGCACACTCTAACCCATCTCTTTCCCTTTTCGCCAGTGTACTTCCTCCTCCTCCTCCCCCCTCATGCCCTGGCCCTGTGGGCCTGCACGCGCTCTTGCCCTCCCAGTTGCACGTGTTCTCAGGAGAAGAGTTGCAGCGTCCTGTGTGACCACGTCAACATGATGGACCTGCCCAAAGAGTTCCCCTGCGAGGCATCCTCCATCAACCTGGACAAGAACAGCATCAAGTTTCTGTCCGAGCGGGCCTTTGGCACCCTGCCTTCACTCAAGACACTCTCGCTCAACCACAACAACATCTCCTTCATCACGCCGGGAGCATTTAAAGGGCTGCCCAACTTGCTGGAGCTCAAGTTGGCCCACAACGAGCACATACGCTACCTGCACACTCGCTCCTTCACAGCAATCAAACGCTTGGTGCGCCTGGACCTCTCTGACTGCAACCTGTTCAACATGCCAGACCGCATCTTCCTGGAGCAAATCTTCCTGAAGGAACTGCTGTGTTTCCAAAACAACTTTCGACGTGTTCCCGGGGCCCTAAGGGGGATGGAAAACCTCACACACGTTTACTTGGAGCGCAACAAGATTGAAGCGGTGGCCTACAACTCTTTGTTGGGCCTAACCAACCTCAAGTACCTCAACTTACAGGAGAATCGCATAAATGTGATACATGATGAGGCCTTCAAAGATCTAGTGCGTCTGGAGAACTTCTACCTGAACGATAATCTGTTGGTCGACTTGCCCCAGCAGGCTTTCAAGGGCCTAAGCAACATAAAAACGCTGAATCTGGGTGGGAATGTATTGACCAATGTGTCCAAAACATGGTTCAGTGACCTGGTGGAGCTGGAGGTGCTGTACCTGGATCGAAACCGGCTGTCCTATATCGAGGAGGGTGCCTTTGAGAACTTGACGAGCCTCATCACGCTGCACCTCAACAGCAACAATCTGACGTCTCTGCCCTTCTCTGTCTTCCAGCCCATCTATTTCATCGGCCACCTGTATCTCTTTCGAAACCCCTGGGAGTGTACCTGCGACCTGGAGTGGTTGAGGGAGTGGATGGAGAGTTATAAGTTGGTGAGGGACGTTCCATGCGCTTCTCCATCCTCAGTGGCTGGCTTGGACCTGAGTGAAGTTGTCTACGCCCACCTGAACGCCACCTGTCTGGATCCCCCGGAGCTCAACCTGACCACATCTCCTTCTGAGTATTCCACCATGGAGAACAAGTTCAATAGCCTCATCTCCAAGCTTCTACAGCAGGAACTGAGGGAAGAGATGGTCAACGTCACGGATGGTCTGAGGAACGGCACCCAGCAGGACCTTGCTGAGAGTCAGGTTTCTTCTGGACATGGACTGTTTGGTGCTCTTCCGACTGTGTCTCTTCTTGTGATTCTTTTTCAAGTCGAGATTGACTGCATTAATGCCTCTTGAGAGTCTGGTGAATACCAGAAGGGATTGAAGTGCATCCAAGAGTGGAAGTAATTTTCCATTATGGGAAATGTTTGGATTTAAGACCGTGATGAAATGTTTGATCTATCTTGCCATAGATGATGTGGTTTTTCTCATGTTGAATACGGATATAATGGAGTTGGAGATGATCATCTCTTTAAATGAATTGAAACTGGTCTTGAAGGGAAAGGAGCATGTTTTAAGCAAATAAGACTAAAGGACTTTTGTTTTGCCAGTGCAAAGGATTCATTAAAGTGTAACTGAGGGCCATTTTGTGAGAACTGCAACTAGGCACAACGGTTTTTGTCATTTATTTTTTATCTAGATTTGATTTAAAACATCTTAACGCGTCTATAGTATGAATACATTGTACATATTCTGTTGCATAACTTTGTAACATTTGTTGTGTAGGAGATTTATCTGATAAAACTTCTTGCTATCATTTCACCAGATGGCATAACATGCTGTCCTCTTTGTTTGGATCATTGAACTGGGTAAGGTTTCAGTTCTGGAAAATGCATTAGTCCTCCTATTCTGTAAAGCTTAAGTGCACTCGGTAAGCAACAATACTACAGCGAGAATAAAAGTTACGGCGCTTTTCTTTGCGTGAACGTTTGGGCGGCGTTATGCAAATCTTCCCAAATAGTGAGGTAGATATGTGGGGGCGTGTTAGAACGAGCCGTTTTAGGTAAGTTTTAGGCTGACTCTGAACTTTTATAAAGAATATCTCTTTGGATTTGAGACTTTAGTCTTTGCAACTTTACAGATCTTCTTTATGCACCAAGAGCTTGTAACACTCCAAAGAGAAAGGAAAAAATGAAATCGCATCATATGACCCCTTTAATACTGATTTTTGTTCACTTGTGATTGAGATACTTTGAATAAACAAAAATCATTGCATAAATAGTAAAATTACTCCCAGGTGCAAAGTTTTGAAAGTGTGCTGTTGAATCACTGATGAATGTTAAACATTACAGTGGAAGTCTGGTAGTACTTTCACACTGAACATGGTGCTTAAAATCAAATCTAAATGTCAAGTTAAACTTGTCTCGGAAAATGTATTCATAAAGTTTAGCTCCTGTAGTTTATGCAATGTGAAAGGTTTGAGATCTCTCATGGTACTGCAGCAGTTAATAATGCAGCCTTGTCTGTGTGTATATGTATGTGTATATATATATAGCTTTATATTAAGGCCTTTAAAAAAACTGGTAAGACAGTTTAAGCGGCTCGGCCCTTCATATGCTCTGACAGAAAGGCTGACAGAGACACTAGGCTACTTGCACTGTTTAATGTGTTTGAGATGTGCTTTCTTCCTGAATGCATATCTTTCATTTCACAGGTATATTCTCCATCTGTAAATGTTTTGATTGGGATTCTCCGTTAAACTTCACAGACTTCAGTGAACGAGTGCCGCCGCCAGCATTTGCGACAAACAGACAGAATAATAAAATATACATTTCGCTGAAATATTTGTAGTCAGACAATAAATGTGACGTGTAGAATTTTAAACCTACAAGTAAGTCTATTTCTATGATAGCACTGACTGTAAAGTGACTAATGGAATAATCAAAATAACCTAACACAACTCTGTGCTTTTGTTCTCAATTATTAACATTTTTAGTTTAGTGAATTTAACTTCCGCTTTAAAAGCCTTATTTTTGTTTTTAGATTGCAACATTGCAATGAAATGTGATTTTAACCCTTTTTTGCACATAATAAAGGCTTACATAGTTACATTCACTTTGTTTTCATAGCCTTTAATATGTATTGTTTTGTTGGACAACATTGGGCAGTAAGTGAAATTTATATATATATATATATATATATATATTAAAAACAGATTTTTAAAATACAAATACAAAAATGAAAATACCGAGATATACCGTATATCGCAAATCGGCCAAAAATACAGAGATATGAATTTTTGCCCATATCGCCCAGCCATATACATATATATCCCCCAGATTGATAGTGTAATTTTATGTTTGTGGTGAGACTACAGTTGACTAGCCTTTTTGTTTTTTAAGCTAAAACGGACCAACTACACTTCAGAAATACATTTTTCATATTGTTTATAAAATGAGAAGTTCACCACGTCTGCCTTATTTTCGGGAAAACAATTTAGCCATGCAAAATTTGGCTCTGGTTTCATATTCCTTTGTTTTTGATGAGTCAAGTCTCCTCAGTTTCTAAACATTTGTGTATGGCTTTCGATGACAGCACAACTGAGACGAGCGCTTATTTCCTCCCTCTCTATGTCAGTTGGGGTTCAGCAGGTGAAAGGTGTCATTCGTGTATATTTGATCAACTGGAAGCCAGCATTAATCTGTTCTTCATTATGGCAGAAACGGTGATAAGAAGCAGCTCTCTTCAGGAGGAAAGCAGTTTGTGAATAAGCAGGAGAAAGCTCAAGTCAAGATGCTAGCCCATCCAGCTAGAGGAAGGTGATGCCCTTTAGCTGTGCCTTCTGGGATTAGAACGTAAATAAATCCTGTGAAATACACACTAGTTTTTTAAAAATAAAGTATTATTAGTTCGTTCAGCAAGGATGCATTAAATTGTTTAAAAGTGACAAAGACATTTATGAAAATGTAATGGATTTCCATTACATTTTACATTTCAAATAATGTTCTTTTGATCTTTCCATTCATCAAAGAATCCTGAAAAAAATGTATCTTGGTTTCAACAAAATTTATAATATAATTGATAATAATAATGTTTCTTGATCACTAAATCAGCATATTCGAATGATATCCTAAGGATCATGTGACACTGAAAACTGAAGTAAAGTTCACAGGAATAATTAACATTTTTAAATATAGTAAAATAGAAAACAGTTATTTTAAATTGTAATAATATTTCACAAAATTACCGTTTTACTGTATTTTTGATTAAATAAATGCAGCCTTGATGAACAGACTTCTTTTAAAAAAATCTTGAATGTTGCTGTATATTACGATAACACTGAATTTTCACACTCACTCTTGGTTTCTATTGCATACAGAAATATGTATGACAGTACCGTTAGTCCAGCCAACACACTCTGCTTCGCACTCAGACACATAACTGGGCACTGTAACAAGGGGGCAGGGTGTGACCTACCAACAGCTGCTGAGAAAAATCTGAAAATAAAAAAGGTAAAAGGAACGAAAAGTTTTCCATTGGCCCCGTCTCTGCCAACTCACACAGAGACGCAGAGCAAAAGAGGTGGATGAGCAACACAGAGCAGAAGACAGAGGAGATCTTTACCACATAAAAGGAAATATATTTAAAAAAACACTCATACCGAGAAGCTGCTCCGTCATCGCCAGAGCCATTTACACAGGACAGTTTGAGTAAACAGTTTGTCATGTACAGAACCATTCAGATGAACAGTGTTGTCTTTCGCTTTGCACAGATGCACCTCTTCCTCAAACAACTCCACAGAAACGACACATTTCTGAAATGGCAGAACAGTTTTGTGAATTCATTTTCATCCTGAACCCCTTAATTTTACAACAAATAAAAATGTTGACCATTTACAACACATTTTACTACATGACTGGTAAAAATAAACTGTTTACAAATTTGCCAAAATGCAAGGGATGTGCATAGGTCTTTTTTTCTTCTCCTCGTCACCGTCCGGCCCCACCTGTTTGAATGTGTTCGTCCAGACGAATGGAATGTTTTCTGCTGTGGGTGACGGTCTGAACACAGCTAACACTGACGGCATGGACGCTTGTGAATGTTCACATGCATGAGATCTCATTCAAATCTCTAAAACATTTATGTACATCTTTAGAGAGACAGTAACCATCGCGTAGAAGATGCTGAAACGTGAAAAAGAAACCCAAAAAAGGCAAATCGGTGGGTTGTGCTAAAGCAGCTGGGCTCTGCCGCTTGGATAATGTGGGGATTATGTATGATGGTGAGTTAATGGACAGATGAAAGCTGTGAGGATTCTGCTGTAAGAATACTGCACTTTTGCTCTGGTAATAACAGAAAAATGGGCAGAAAAACAAAAACAAATGCAGGAAAATGCATCATGTAGGATATTGTCTCTTTAAATCAGTCTCCTAACGATATAGACATGACAATATTTAGTATTTATTTTATTTTTATTATTTTTTCCATTAATACAACACCACGTCTAGGTAGTCTGTGAGGGGCCAAGGCTAGGCTCACAGCAGGTACATTGATGTTGTTGGTGGACTTCTGTTTGAATCATGGGGAGAGTTCTGAGGGTTTTTTTTCTTGCAGAGATGCACTGCACAGTGTGAGATTATGAAGGGTGCAAGGTTACAGGTTGATGGGTTTGCTGTTTTAGTAGACCCAGGATACTGGAACCCACTGGCCAGTGGTGCAAACCAGGTCTATGGCTTCCTCCAGGAGCCGAATAGTCTCGTCAATCTCATTATTGATGATGGTTTGGTCAAAATAGTGTGCATAGGTCTTCTGGAGGATCTCGGACTCCTTCTGCAGCCTCTGTAATGACTCATCCTGCAGCATGAAAGAAAAAGAGTACCGGTAAGTCAAAGAGTAAAGGGTCTTTTGAAAGGATAATGGATGAATTCTGACAATATGCCCATTTAAGAAAATTTCATTTATGATCCTAAAGGAATAAACAGAGGATGGGAGAGTTGGGAAGGATGGTACTAGTGTAGATATTCAGTACACTATCATTCAAAAAATTTGAGGCTAGTAAGACTTTTTGTTGTTGAAAAAAGTCTCTTATGCTCAACAAGGCTGCAATTATTTGGTGGAAAAAACAAACAAAAGCAATAATATTGTGAAATATTGTTACAATTTAGAATATTTCTGTGGAAACATTATATTTATAATATTTTATAATATATATATATTTGTACAATTATAAGTGTTTTTACTGTCCTTTTTTATCAATTTAATGCATCCTTGCTGAATAAACATTCATGCCGGGAGTGATAGTTGGTGCAGCAATGAAAACCACATAGGGAGCAAATTCAGCTGTCCGTAAAACCTTCAGTGCCTGAGAATATTTGAACACAACAAGAATGAGTTATTGCAGTTCATTTTATGCCCCCATCATACAGTATTTTAAAGGGGGTGATTCTTTTCTTTACTTAATCACATTTTGTTGCTGACATGTTGTTGTTTTATCTTTCACTTGGATGTTATAAGTTGTACTGAGTAAATACAGCTGGATAAAACAAAAACTGTGTCCGTCTTCATTTCATTTCATGTGATTATTTTAAAGTAGGTGATTATTTTCTATACTAACTGTTTGTGTCTTAATATATTTGACATATGATATTAAACTAATAAAATTAAGATGCAATCAAATTTTTCAGTTTTCCTTTAGCACAGTATTACAATTTTGAATAATTACACTACTTTGATCTGAGTGACTAAATATTCTAGGTCTTAATACCACTCTCCGTTTGTCTTTTGTAATGTCCCAATAAATAACAGCCAATTCTCTACAGAAATCATCCTAAAGAGAAATTACATCATAAAGCCAACACAAACATACTGTAAATCCGATTTGATTTCATAAAGTTTTGTGGTATTAGATGGTTTATATCGATCCAAAATATTCCATCTTGTTTTATAATATTCAATATAATTGTAAATATCTAAACCAATTTCAAGTTGACACTGTTATGTAAGATAACTCCTAATTCCTCACTAAGCAATGGGTAACTGACCTTAGGTCTTTATTTCCATCCTATTAAGTCTCATATTAATAATTTTCTTTGTGTAAATAATAACGTTCCTGAACTTAACACGAGCATATTTCTGAAAGTCTGCAATACCATTGCTGCATAACAGGAATGACCTACAAGGTTAATGTTCAACTGTTTTCTCTCATGAATAAATGCAGAGGGCAGTTAAACGGTCACCTGTGGCTCTACGTCCAGTATGGCTACGAGTCCCTGCTCGTGGATCTTGCGTATTGTCTCCAACTGTGTGCCATACATTGCATCCTCATGGCTGCCGTACTCCAGGTAATCATTGTTGGAGATGTCCTGCATCATTTGGTCATGGGATACAAAGAAATAATTCTTGCCGTTCTCTTCATCTTTCTTTGGAGGTCTGGTAGTGTCTGTTGCGGCAGAAATGAGTAGGCGGTTATCAGTTCAGCAGAGACCAATCACGTGGACTGTTAGAGACAGTGACTTGGGAATGTTTCTTACGTGGAATGGGATAAGCAAATCTGTCTGGGTGTTTGGTGATGAGTGTATTCTTGATGTGTCTTCGGCCAACACCGTGAGCACCTGCCAGTGGACAACAAACCACAAATGAATGAGAAATGCTTCATGCCAACTAACAAAGGTAAGATGTGGAATAAAACCAAGATCAACATACACACCTAGTAAAACTAATGTTTTCCTCTTGAATGCTGGCAACTTCACCACTTCCTCATATGTGACCAGATCTAGTTGATCAAACACTAAAAAAACCACAAGATTGTTATTTAATAGGAAGGAGGGACTGATCTCAAATTTTTAAAAATGTATGTTGTTGTCATTAGAATCCAACAAACCATCTGTTTTAAAATAAAAAACAAATGTGGAATCTTACAAAGGAAAAGGAGGATGTTTTTGGGTAATGCTATTGGTGTTTGTTCTCTGTTTTCAATGGGACTATGAGGACTCTGCATGTGTTTTGGCTGTTTATGTAATGCTACAGGCCTGATAGGGGGATTTGATACTGTCTCTCACTAACATTCAATCTCCACTGCAGCAGAGTGGCTTCATGTATCAGTGTGTTCAAATGCAGCACAGAGCCTGAGCTGAGAGAACATCCCAGCCACTCACACTTGGCATTTCTGCATATTCAAACTCGCCACTGATGTCAAACCTGGAGACATTTTGCATGCTTATTTCCTCTATGTTTACATTTAGATTACCATTGCATTACATTATAATGTAATGATGTTTAAATGAGTTCACTTGTTTGTTTTTTGGGGTCTGAAAGAAGCCTCATGTTCACCAAGACTGCATTGATTTGTATACAAATACAGTAAAAACAGTAACATTGTGGAATATTATGACAATTTAACATGACTGCAACAGAAAAAAATGCAACAGACACCTGTTAAATTTCATAGTTAGATGCTGTCTCTAGTAATGCTAGCATAAAAAAAGAGAACAAGGCTGATGGGCTAAAATGATGATTCCTCTGAAATTTGACTGCACTGAAGGACAAAGTGTCATTGCTTTTGTGAACTTACACAAAGCTATATCACTAAGCCTTTTCTAGCACAGTGCTGTGGTTGCATAATGAGTAAAACTGGCTGTAGTGTGCATGCGGGGAAGTGTTGTGGGAGATAGCATTTGTGTGTGCAGGAGACTGAGAGTTGACTTGGCTGTGAGAAACGTGAGCCATCTGTGTCATTTCCACGTGCAATTTGATTCCAGCACTCATCTCCCTCTCTGAATACTAGATGCCTTAAATGATTCATGCTCCTTTTTCACATGACCTTGAGTATGCAGCTCTATATATGTAGGATGTTTAATGGATTTGCGCACAGAGAAGCCTCATGTCGTGCTGTGGATCAGTGGATATAGGTGTACAGTGTTCAGAGAAAACAGACTTAAAAATAAACTAAAAACAAAAAAGCACAACACAACAAAATAAACCATGAATACCACACAAACATTCAAACACATACTGCAAAAGATCTTTGTTCTGTTGAATGAAAAAAAATGGAGGTTGCTAATAGGCGCTGTTGGGAAGGTTACTTTGGAAATGTAATAGGTTACAGATTACAAGTTACTCTATTTAAAATGTAATAAGTAGTGTAACTATTTCAATTACAGTATTGAAGTAATATAACTGATTACATTTGATTACTTTTCAAAATTTCTAATGAATGTTTTCAACTGTTAATCATTTTTGAAACATTTAGCACTCGACACTGATTACTGCCAGACTTTCAGAATCCTTCATCACTTGAATTAAGATTATAATAATTTAATTTTAAAGCACAGCCACCACAAAATCAGACTTTAGCAGTTATTTTTACTTTGAGATCATTCTGAGGATAAATAATGATTTAAAATCATAACAAGGTATCGTTTAATAGCTATGATACTGTATATGAAATTAAATCTTTGCATAGCTACGACAGGAACAGTTGGCATCTGACAAAGTCATGGGAAAAAAAACAGTTAATCTTAAAAAATAAAGCATATACATAAACCCAAATAGGGAATAAAACAATTATCAAATAAGCATGTGTCCTATTCTGTCTTCTAAACTCCTCAAACATTGGTGTCTCATATTTTAGAGCAGTCAATGCAATTTGGGAAAGACATCAATCAAATCTGTACGTGTGTGAAAACAGTCAGATGTAATTGTTAACATTTTCATAAGTAACTGTAATTTAAAGGTGCACTAAGCGATTTTTGAAAAACGCTTTTGACCACTGTGTCGGACCGAGTCACAAAACAAACCCGCAGCCAATCAGCAGTTAGGGGTGTGTCTAGTAATGATAGGGAGCAGAGAACACTTAGTGAGTGCACAGGACGGATATTAGTTGATCGACTATTAATAGCGAGAGATGGCAGATAAAAAAAAGAGGAACATTTCAGAGGAACAAAACATTAAAAAGAAGGGTTACGATCAGGCAAGAGGTAAGACCGCATAAATATTGGAGCAGCTTTCCAGTGGTGGAGAGAAGTGAAGGAGTGGAAGTGAATCGGACGCCGAGGTTGCTTTGCGTCTTGATAGTTGAGTTACATTGATTTTGCTTTGTTGGCTTTTGCTTGAATATGCTGCGGCTGGCAGGCATAGCAGATTCCGCTATCGTCGCTGCCAGGGTGTGTGTTCGTACATGTGGGGCGGAGTTATCAAAATAGGGGCGAGGTCCTGTTGGGGTATGGGCGAGTTTGTTTTGGTGCTTTCAAATATCAACATCGTATGGCAAAAATCGCTTAGTGCACCTTTCATAACACTTTTATTTCTCAGTAACTGTAACAGATTACAGTTACATTTATTTAGTAATTAAAGGGGTCATATGATGCTTTTTTAAAGATCATTATTTTGTGTATTTGGTGTAACAGAATATGTTGACATGCTTTAATGTTCAAAAAACACATTATTTTTCAAATACTGTACATTATTGTAGTTCCTCTATGCCCCGCCTCTCTCAAACGCTTCGTTTTCTACAAAGTCCCTCCTTCCGACAAGCGCAGTCTGCTCTGATTGGCCAGCTGACCCAGTGCATTGTGATTGGCCGAACACCGCAAGCACTCGTCGGAAATGTAACGCCCCTTTCCATAATCGCGAGCTTCATCTTTCAAAATAAATGTAAAGACAGAGCCCCGAAAGGGGAACAGAGTCGCGTGACAGACACAGTGATGAAGCTGGTATGTGTGCAGTACACAAGCCACGGTTAAGACAGCTGACTCCACTGTGATGTGTCTCGCTCCCTCTCTCTCTCGCTCGCGCACACACACACACACACACACACACACACTGCTCTCTCTCTCGCGCGCGCACGCACACACGCACGCATGCACACGATGTGCAAAACTCCGCATTTGAACAGTCAATAGCAAATACTTAAACTAATATCAAAACAGAAGCTGATTCAGAATTACCTCCTCTCCTAGGTTCACGAAACGGTCATCCATAAAATGCATTGCTGTTCTGTTGTAAGTAATCTTAAAGATTCCTAAATGCATCTACTTTCGGAAGGCCAAATAAAGTGCTTTTGCTTTCGCCTAGAAACACACCGCGTCTCCCTGACATGGCTGCTTCAACACTAACGGCGGTTACTGAAACCACGCCTTCTTTCTTTGCGTGAACATTTGGGCGGCATTATGCTAATATTTCCACATAGTGAGGTAGATATGTGGGGGCGTGTTAGAACGAGCCGTTTTAGGGGGGCGTGGCAGAGTCTTAACTTTGATAAAGAATATCAGAAAATTTTGTCTTTGCAACTTCAGGGATCTTATCTATGCACAATCAGCTTGTAACACTCCAAAGAGAAAGGGAAACTTGAAATCGCATCATATGACCCCTTTAAATTACGTAATTCTGTTACATGTAACTAGTTACTCCCCCAACACTGCTAATAGGAAAAGATGGTTTCAGGGTTAATAAAATCACCACAGCAAAGGCGTTGAGTGAGACAGAGAGACAGACAGACAGAGAAAGAGAGAATTAAGCACAGAGGCTGTATGCCACAGCAACACAGTTACTTACATGCACAGAGGCCATTGGTAGATAGACAGCATGTAAAATGGACAGGGGAGGGGGTCATTGAGTTATGGCTCAGTTAACAGAACATCAGTAAGCAAATACAACAACAAGCACACCCAAAGTTGTGATGCTCGAAGCACAGAGACATGATGGCCATCCGTGTGCTCGGGCTGCTCTGGATGGGGCGCTTTCAGAGCGTGTGAGACATCGCTGCTCTGAACAATGAAACATGCCTCTGACATTCACAGCAATGCACTAGCATATCAAGGCAGGAATCTGAAAGCTGCCATTAAAGTGTGGAATTAAGAGGTTTTTCTGATAATCTGCTAAAGCATTATAATTTGCGGTCACAGTATGAGTAATGTTCTATTACAGTAACGCTATACATCATGACATACGTGGACATATGTGAAAGATACATAATAATATTCAGTTATTATTCTATCACACAAAGAGCAGATCAAATTATTCTTAACAAATGATAATGACAGTCATGTCTACCACAGTATAAACTTCTCTACCGTCTGACACATTTCTACCATCGCACTGTATCATTAAAGCTACCCTTGCTATACGGTTGCTAGAATGTTAGAAATCTTCTTTTTCAAATAAAATATTTTTTCAAGCTGAAGGTGCTGCTTAACAACACTTCTTTAAGGATTCATTTATTAAAAGAAAGTTAAAAAAACAGCATTTATTTGAAACAGAAATCTTCTGTAACACTATAAGTGTCTTCACTGTTACTTTTGATCAATTTAAAGTACTCTTGATGAATAAAAACATTATTTTCTTAAAAAAAAACAAAAAAAAAACTGATCCCAAACTTTTGAATGTGTATGCATGTTCTGTTTATGTTTTTCAATCTGTTTAATTTTTATCTGCCAGGTGAAAATTGTAAATCCAATCACTACGCAAATCTTTCTGTATGATTTTTATGTATCATTCATGTATGTAGCACAAACTGTGCAAACAAGCAGCATGAACAAATCTGTCTTAAAAAGATAGTTCACCCAAAAATGAAACGAGGGTTTAACGACTGACAGACTGCAACGGCTGGAGTTCAAAATCTCCATTTGTGTTCTACTGAAGAAACAAAGTCACCTACATCTTGGATGCCCTGGGGGTAAGCAGATAAACATAAAATTTTCATTTTTGGGTGAACTATCCCTTTAAGCCCGATTCGGACGGTAATTGTTTCTCATATGGACATCTGTAAAAATTAAT